GTGATGCCATTTGTTTTCTGCGTTGGGCGTCTGGGTAGTAGGAGGTGGTGGTGGTAATCGAGTCAGAGGAGCAGCAGGTTGGTTGATGTGGGTGGGATGTGGTTGTGCAAATGTGAGGAAGTTGGGAAACCGATCTGGCAGATCGCGGCTGCCGTCGGCGGCTCTCCGGTTCTCCACAGCCCACTATCGGGCTTATCGATGGCCCCACAGGCTTGGTTCCAGTCGAGACGGTAGTTGTCGCTGGCATGGATGCTCATGATGAAATGTGTACATCTGGACGTTCTTGGAGATATAGACGAAGCCAAGACTTACGGAATATACCTTTCGCCTGTGCCTGTTCTGAAATTTCCGAGCACAACAGAGGACGAGTTGTTATGTTTGCAACCTCTGGGTGGTGGCCCAAGATGGCAGCAGCACACAGTATTCGGCGAGTAATAACGGAGCTTGACTTTGAGAATGGTTGCAGCATCGTGTTAACTCCAGGAGCGTTCAGGTTTCTTGTTCTTTCCATATGAAAATCATTTCTTAACCTAGGTTCTTCCTGGGATATGTCCAGTGTTTTGACGGCTGAAACCCCCGAACGCCACTCCATATTGTGAGAAATCAACTCATAACAATAGCCTACATGCTGCCAGAAAGCATTCCGCCTCTTCAACATCGATTCATCTCTGCAAGAAACCTCCGTCTCTAGGATCGATTCAGCAGTGAACTTTGAGCCCTCAATTGACACAATGAAGCTTCTCGCAACCCGAGCCGCGAGCCAAGATGCCAGCCATTGAGTAAACTCGTCAGCTTATGTCTCGGAGTACCATGTCTTGCGTGCCTGTTTTCATGTTCATGAAGAATCATGAAAGAAATATCGTCATTCAAAATGACGGCCACAAAGGATACCAGCATCATGATCATCTCCACCCTCTTCCTGAACCAGCCCTGCTCTGATGACTTGGTCATCGTAGAACACATCAAGTGCTGACTAACACAACATGCACCTTCACCCCACCTCCCTCAACCCCTCCAACCCCAAAGGTCTCGTCAAAGCTCAGCACCAACTCGGGCAACTTGTACACATTCCGAATTCATGACAATGAACAAACGAGTAGAGTGGTCCAGAGACATTTATCAGCACTGTGCAAGATTCTAATGACAGGCAGGTTTACTTTGTAGCCCACGGCGGCCGTGTCCAAGGTAGCTATATCCAGCAGCCACTCGAGTCCTCTCCACGAAGACATGACGACAACTGACGTCACGCTCAACTCTCAGGCGTTGGCTTTCGCTACTTTACGCAAAAGCGAGGAACAGAGTACGGGCTCACGGGATGGTGTCGCAACACGGATGACAACAAGGTGCGACGTGGCCCAAACACCCGCCTCCTTGGAAGCGAGCGACTCGAGCTGACGAGACCAGGTGGAAGGCGAGGCGCAGGGACCCGAGGACGTGCTGAAGAAGTTCTTCCAAGACGTCGACCAGGGCCCGCGCTCTGCCAAGGTTGTCAAGCTGGACCAGACGGAGAGGGACATTGTCGACGGAGAGAAGGACTTTCAGGTGCGATGAGCGGCCAGCTCTGGCCAAAGCACTCTGGACGTGTCGAAAGAGACCATGTACGTTACAGGCAGTGGGTGGCAACTCGTCCGACAAAACAGCGGGCTCGCTTCGTTAAATTTGGCACACAAAGGCCGTTTGGTATCCTAAAAGTTCCTTCCCTTGCGCTTGATCACCGGCTTCTTCACGGCCCCCTGTGTGACGACCTTCTTCACTGGTCCGCTGAGCGTCTTTTTCCTCGAGTCCCGCTCCTGCTCGGCGGCCATCTGCTCCTGCTGCCGCCGCCTGTCGTCGGCCATTTGCGTCTCAATCTCCATCTTGCGGTTGAATTCCGTCTCGGTGATGCGCTTGTCGCGCATCGAGTAGCCCTTTTCCTTGACCGAGTAAAAGACGCCGCCGAGGTCCGCGAGCCAGTGCGGATCCACGGCCGTGACGGTGGACACGTACACCTTGGACGTGAGGATGAGCTCGTGGTACACAATGTAGTCGGGCGGGTGGCCCGCGTACAGGGCCGAGGTCGGGTGCAGCTGGACGCCGAGGTTGGTGCGCAGGTTGATGTACTCGCCCGAGCCCTTGTACTTGGCGGCCTGGTGGTAGTAGCCCGAGCAGATGCACTTGCGGATGACGTCCCAGTCCATGCCGCAGCTGAGCATCTGCATCTTCTGCATCTTCATAATGTCGAGCAGTTGGTCGCGGATCTCCTTGGCGCGCCGCAGCGACTTGGGGTGCAGGAAGTGCTTGATGCACCAGCCGTCCGACATGCCGTTGGACTTCCACGCCGAGTACACCTGCAGGTAGGTCAGATGATCCGACTCGTGGACCCAGAACTTCTCGCGCTGCGTGTCGGCCTCGTCTTGCCGCTCCTTCGGTCGGTAGAACACGTTGGGCACGGACAGCATGGAGACGATGGTGATCATCTCCTCGCTGCAGCCGTATTCCTCGGCCGTAATGAGAAGCTTCGACAGTGACGGATCCATGGGGAAAGCGCTCATCTTGGCGCCCAGCTTCGTCAGCTCGCCCAGGTTGTTGAGGGCGCCCAGAGCCCAGAGGTCGAACATGGAGGTGGTGATGGTGTCTTGCGGTGGAGGGTCCATAAAGTCGAAATCGAGGAGATCCTTGACGCCGAGCGACTTCAACATGAGAACCGTGTTGCTGAGGTTCGTCCGCTGGATTTCCGGAATCGTCTGTAGGTAAAGTTCTTCTTTAAAGGCCTTTTCTGTAAACAGCCGGAACGCCTTGCCGGGCCCTGTGCGGCCAGCTCGACCTGAACGCTGTGAAGCGTTCGCCTGGGAGATGGGGGTGATCTGAAGCGTATCCATACCCATCTTGGGGTTATAGACTTTCATCTTGGAATAGCCCGCATCTACGACGTACTTGATACCATCGACTGTCAAGCTAGTTTCCGCAATATTCGTCGCTACGATGCACTTGCGGACTCCCGGTGCCGCTCGGTCGAAAATCTTGGCCTGCAGGTCTGCAGGCATCTGACTGTAAATGGGGAGGATGCTGAGTTTTGGTGGGTCATTCAGCGCATCCAGGCGTTTCTGCACCAGCTCGCAGGTCACTTCAATGTCCTCTTGACCGGTCATGAAAACGAGGATGTCGCCTTGGTCCATAGACACATGGATGGACAGAACCTGCTGCACCGCCTGGTCCACATAGTCCTCCACCGGCGACCGATGGAACATGGTGTCGACCGGAAACGTCCTTCCCGGAATAGTGAAATCTGGGGCGCCGCCGTAGAATTCGGAGAACTTTTTCGAGTTCATGGTGGCAGACGTGACGATGAGTTTTAAATCTCGTCTCCTTTGCAAGATCTTCTTGAAGAGTCCCATTAGAATGTCGGTGTTCAACGCACGCTCGTGCGCCTCGTCCATGATGATGCACGAGTACTTGTCGAGGTCAGGCTCGTTGAGCGACTCTCGAAGAAGCACACCATCGGTCATGTACTTGATGACCGTCTCCTTGCTGGTACAGTCCTCAAAACGAATGGCATAGCCGACGGTGCTGCCGAGCTTGACGTCCATCTCTTCCGCCACACGTTTCGCGACGCTCATGGCGGCGACACGCCTCGGCTGTGTGCACCCAATCATGCCCGAGTCTCCGTAGCCCTCCTCATACAGGAACTGCGTCAACTGCGTCGTCTTGCCGGAGCCCGTCTCGCCGACGACGACAATGACCTGGTTCTCCCGAATGACGCGCATCAGGTCCTCCCTGACGGCAAACGCGGGCAGGTACTGCCTCTGCTCCTGCAGCGTCTTCGTCCTGCTAAAGTCGCTGCCGCCCTCGGCCTTCTTCTTCATGTGGTCGCTGAACTTGTTGCTCGTCTCGCCGTCGGGCTTCCTGACGGCGTCCTCCTCGCCGGCAATGGCCATGGCGCTGTCGCCTTCCTCCTCCTTGACGCCCATGAGGTTGCCGAGCGCGGTGCCCTTCATGCTCGTCGCCTCCTGCGCCTGCCGCTGGCGCTCGCGCTGCTGCCGCGCCTCCTTGACGACCTTGCTGCCCTTGCGGCTGAAGACGGCCATGTCGCTCTGGTAGTCGCGCACGGCGGGCACGGGCTCGAGCTGCTTGGTAAAGATGGTGCGGCCGTCGAGGAAGGGCGGGCGCAGCTCGTGCACGAGCAGGTGCACGCGCGTCGCCTCGTCGTCGTCAAAGTCGGCCGCCATGTCGCGCCGCTGCGCGACGCCCGACACGAGCATGCGGTTCGTCTCCCAGGCGTCGTTGTCCCTGTTGCGCTGCTCGCGCCGCGCGTCGTACCGGCTCGACATCTTCTCCGCCTTGACGGCCTCCTGGTGCTCCTTCTCCCAGGCCGAGTAGTCGTGGCCGAACGGGTTGTGCATGTCGTCGCCGAACACGTGCCCGCCAAACTCGTCGCCGGCGTACCAGTCGCGGTCCAGCGCTTTCGTGTCTTCGTCTGTCGGCTGGGGCACGTCGGGGCCCGGTGTCGAGGCGTGCTCGGCCCGCGGCGTCGAGCGGCCGCTGCCGTCGAGCCTTCGCCGCTTGAAGACCGGCGGGGCATAGGATCGGTCTTCGGACATGCTGGCGGTGTATCGGGGGAGGGGGTTGTCCTGACGGAGAGAGATGATGGAGGGGAGGATATCTGTGTTCGTCGCGAGAACAACTGCTGATTGATGTCAGGGGAGGAAAGCCAATGCCGAAGATCTGCCGGCCGGCGGATCTCATCGATAAGATTAAGCTGTCAAACAAACTTTCAGTCAGTCTTGACAAAGTTATGCCAGTCTCGAGAATTCTCATAGTCTGGGCCTGTTGACAATGTGGCTGGCATTGTCATGAAATAGACTTCAATTCTTCCCACATATGCTTTACCGTTAGTACAAGATTGATCCGCGTAGAAAGGAATGACAGCACCAAGGCCCTCCCTAGGTAGCTCAAGCTCTCCAGACACCGTCATGGCGGGGAGGGGAGATAAGATAAGCCCCACCACATATTTTTTTTTCCCACGTCCACGTCCACGTCCACCAACCGCCACAGTGCCAGCGCTTCCCAGATTTTGAAGTCCCGACCCCCCGGAAGGTTAGGCGCAGACCAAGTCCACATACACCGTGGGTGTTTTCAATCTTTTGCCAGAACTGTCGACACGGCCAGCGGGAAAAGAAAAAAAAAAGCTCGTCATGTCCATGATCACATCCGCCACCTGGGTGCCGCGCGGCTTCGCGGCCCCCTTCCCCCAGAAATACGCCTTTGACGAGGCCGAGTTTGAGCGCATCGCAGAGCTCGCCAAGCTCCAGCTCGATGATGCCGAAGACGATCTCAAGGAGGCGCAGGACGCCGAGGGCGCCAAGGCTGCGGGTGCGAGCGAGGAGAAGGAGAACAAGATGAAAGAAGAGTGCGTTCATTGGGCTGGGCGCTCTGAGGAAAGGGTGCAAATAGCTGACGGACCATGATAGGATCGACATTAACGATGACGACCTCAAGGAGTACGACCTCGAGCACTATGACGACGACGATGAAGAGGAAGACGAGGACAGGCCCGGCCAGGGCGAGAGCATGGGCATGTTCGGCAACGCCAAATCGCTGGCCTACTACGAGTCCAACAAAGACGACCCCTACATCACCCTTCAGGACGAGGACGAGGACGAGGACCGCGACGACATGCAGATCCTGGCGACGGACAACCTGCTTCTGGCCGCCAAGATTGAGGACGAACTGGCCCATCTCGAGGTCTACGTCTACGAGGACGCTGCCGACAACCTGTACGTCCACCACGACATCATGTTGCCCGCCATCCCGCTGTGCGTCGAATGGCTCGACATTCCCGTGCAAAAGCAGGGCGTCGAGAAGGATGCGACGGCCAACTTTGTCGCCGTCGGCACCATGGACCCCGATATCGAGGTCTGGGATCTCGACACGATAGACTGCATGTACCCTAATGCGATCCTTGGCCAGGGCGGCGAGGGCGCCGAGGAGAAGAAAAAGAAGAAGAAGAAGAAGGCCAAGGCCAACGACGAGTACCACGTCGACGCCGTCCTGTCGCTTGCTGCCAACAGGAAACACAGGAACCTGCTTGCTTCGGCCTCGGCCGACAAGACGGTCAAGCTCTGGGACCTGCACACGACCAAGTGCGCCAAGTCGTACACGTACCACACGGACAAGGTGTGCTCGCTGGCGTGGCACACGACTGAGCCGACGGTGCTGCTCAGCGGCAGCTACGATCGCACCGTTGTGGCCGCCGACATGAGGGCGCCCGATGCCAAGGCCCCACGATGGGGCGTCGAGAGTGACGTTGAGAATGTCCGATGGAACCCCCACGACCAGAACTACTTTTACGTCTCGACCGAGAACGGCATCATCCACTACCACGATGTCCGCAACGCGCCTTCCAACCCGGCGGCAACCAAGGCCGTCTGGACCCTGCAGGCGCACGACGAGTCGGTCTCCTCCTTTGACATCAACCCCGTCGTGCCCGGCTTCATGGTCACCGGTTCAACTGACAAGACGGTCAAGCTCTGGAACATCCAGGCGAGCGGGCCCAGCATGGTTGTCTCGCGCAATCTGGACGTTGGCAAGATCTTTGCGACCAACTTTGCGCCGGATCCGGAGGTGGCGTTCCGTCTCAGTGTGGCGGGCAGCAAGGGCACCATGCACATCTGGGACACCAGCACAAATGCCGCCGTTCGTCACGCATTCTCCGAACGCGTCGCCGTCCCGGTCAAGGAGGGTGCGGTGGAAGACAGGACAGTGGGTGTCGACTCGGACGACAGTGAAGGCAGCGACGACGAGGAGGAGGGCGATAACGGCGCCAAGGCCGACCGAAGCGACGATTCAATGGATGAGGATTGAACGGGTGGAACCAGTATCGATCGGTATCGTTGTCTGGAGTAGCGGATCCGTTGTGGATAGAGACGGATCAAGGACTAGATTCAAGGGGGAGGGGCCTTAGGACCACCGGCCCCCGGTCCAGCAGGGGCGGGAGGCGATGATCAACCTCGTCCGTCGGGCAGCCACCAGTCGAATCGCACATGTTGTACACATGTGTACCGATCTGCTGTCAAGCTTTTGCTAGTGTCGAGGCCAAAAGAAAATGATGAATACTCAGCTTGCGTCCGCTTCGAGTCCATTGTGCACGCTCGTGCTACTGGACCTGCCCACCCGCCGTCTGTCAAAGGACAGGCATAGTTCAGCGATTCAGCTCATCTCGAAGAACAAAGGATCCCAGGATCAGCCCGACAGCGCCATCGCATTCTATAGGGGCCAGAAGCAGCCCTGGGCAAAGAAGCATGGCTGAGGTTGGGATGGCATGAGGGTCGCACCCATAAAAAGAAATGGGCGAAACAATTAAGGCGTGGCCTCTCCTGGGTCATGACGGGGGGCGGCAACGCGGGTGAGGGCCGCTTGCGCTTGGTTCATGCGTCGGTGATGAAGGGGGTTTGAGGATCGTGAGCATGCGCCAATTCAGCTTGCACCAGGGAAGCTGTCTGTTGGTCGGTCGGTCGTTCAGGCGGTCGGCACACCTGTCTCTGGTCTCGTGTGATCCCACTGACGGTGGACGAGGCACATGCGTCTCTCTCACCTGCCACCTGTGACTACGCTTGCACTCCACGAGCTTCCCTTCTCGGCACTTCCAAACGGCCCTGGATGCATGCAAAGAAAACGCCCGATGAAAAGTCTTGATCGAGCAGTTGCCCGAAGAGGTGTGGGGTGGAAACGGGTGGAAAAGTGGGAGGTACCCGGAGCCTGGACCGCGCTGCTTTTACCCAACTGTTGGGCATGTGAGGGATTCGCCGGACTCGAGATAGCAGAGACGAGCCACGCCGGCTCCTGTTCGTTGACAGCAGAGCATACATGTACAAGTAGAACGGCGAGTCCTCTTAACCCGAAACGGGCAGGAGGCCAGGATGGTCAAACCCAAAGCCCCTGATGTGCCCTCAAGGATCAGGGACTAGAAAACCCCAGCACACCCCGACTCAGAGCCACTTGCGCAGGCACAGGCGCCACTGTTGAAGGACGGCGCGGCATGAAACACTGAAACCGCATGGCCATGGCCCAATGGGACCAAGGGATTCGTTTCCATATGGTGATTCTGGGGGGTCTTGGAGGGGGCGCCTGGGGAGGCCGAGAAGCCTGTGATCTACTTTCTCTGCAGCCAAAACATGCAAAGATAGCAACAAGAGCGACTCCATAGGGCGATTGGGCGATCCTCGATCGTTTCTGGTCGAAGGCAATTTTTGATCGATGGTTCGATGGTGGGGTGTCTGTTACGCGATGTCTGAGGGGGATCTGGCGGCCTGCTTCCATGTACTGTAAGTTCGAGGGGGGGTGTGGCTGGCACACATACTTTTGGGAGGTTTGACAATACCAAGTGAACGCAAGTTTTTTTGAATGGTCACGTCAAGCGGAGCGCTTCACACCACGCCGCCGGGGTCCGAGAGACAAGCAGGAGGCTCAAACGGTCGGTTTGCTTCTGCGCCCTGCGGTCCAATGTCTGTTCGCTGTTTGGGCTCCAGCAGCCTGGTTGTACAACGAAGCAATGACAACAGGCGCAGTGACGCTGAGTTGGCGTTGGCGTTGGACACGTCTCTCACACGCCTCGTTCTCTTGGCTGACCCTGCGTGCAGCTTCTGTGTTCTGTGTGCCGTGCGTGTGCGTGTGCAGCGTCAATGCTGGCAATCGGCAGATCCAAGGGGCTACCGACGAGCAGCCATGCAAAATTGGGAGCGCTGAAGGACGAGTGGTACATGTACAGCCATGAGTCTGCTGAACTCTGCGTGTCCTGATCCGGCGGGTGATCGGTCTGGAAGCCCACTGTAAAAGTGCGTCTGATGGATGGATGGCCTGGAATAATTGCCTCGAGTGCCATGTACCGCCTGTTGAGCAGTCCGTCGATCCAACGAGCTCCACGTGCCGTAGACCGGGCCATCTCCATGCGAGTCAGATTCCCCACGGTGGTTGGAGGAGGGTGACATTCTCTGTACATGAAAGTTCAGTCGGTTGGTCGGTCGTCAAGGATGTCATCAAGTCTTTGACCCTGACTGCTTTGTTTCGGCAACGGGGGTTGTTCTCGTCGGAGCCGCAAACTGGCGAGATCCAGGTCCGTGGATATGCGGCAACGCGATGGCGACGCTTCGAGGAAAGAAGGGATTTGAAGGCGAGCAGTAGCAGCCGACAGCGCAAGGAAAGAACAAAGGACCATCGGCAGGGGTCGAGCCCCATGAGGGCCCCATCTCATTGGCCCAACGACTGCTGATCACTGCTCCGCTCCTCCCACGAGCTCGTTAGGCGCTACCAGGGTCCGGACGAACCGGGGGTCTCTCGTGGTCTCGACCAATGAGGGGAAATCGTAGTGAGCAGGGACAGGGGAAGCGCGGGACGCTCCTGGTCCAAAAGGCAATCAAAGAGCGACAGAGCGCCAGGGCAAGGAACAAGAAAGAGGAGCAAAGAGCGCAAGAGCCAGGCAGTCCCCAATCCTCCGGCCGCCCTGCAGAACACAACACGTCCCCTCGCCTACAGAGCTTGTGCCCCCCCCAAATAATTGGCACTTCCCTCCCCTGCCGCTCGATAGGCTTTTCTCTTTCCCTCATCCAAGTTCACCTTGCGAACCAAAGGCAGCTCGACGCCAGATCTTGAGGACGTCCAGCCTTAATCCTCTCTTCACTTCTCAACGTACTTTTCCACGCTCTCCATTCCCTTGTGGCGTGACGATTTTTCCATCTTCCTTCCTTTATAGAAATCACCAGTCAGTCTAGACGACTGCGAGGATCAGCACTTTCGTGTCGAACACGGCCCAACTCACCTCACGTTGAACGTTCATTTCCCACAACGCGACACAAACACAACACATACGGGACTCACCCAGACTCAGAGAATCAAGAAAAGGTCTTACACCAGCAACACCAGCGTTGACCAAGCTCTCGGTCGTACCAATCACTCTCCTTCCGCCAACTCACCGGTCGGCTAAACCCGAGCATCTATCGCCTCTTCTTTCCTTCACCAACTCGGTCGAGAAAACGGAACCCCGATTCTCACCACGAACTTCCTGCACACGCAACTTTTCCCACCCGGAAGACTGAGCCTGCAGAAGATTTCTTCACTTCTATTCATCATAGCTTTCGCTGTCAGCAGAAACCCAACATTCTTCGGCGATTGACAGCTCGTGCTCCGCCGCCACCCGCCCACATCCACGCCTCTATCTGCCTTGCAGGTATTGCAGCACGCGCACACGCACCTTCCCCACCGAAACTTCCACTTCTGGACTTCGGCCCAATCACGCCTGCAGCCCTCGCACCACCATCACCACCCTCTCGGCGGTATCAATTCTGAGCAGCCGGCACCGACGCTACGTTCTATTCGGAGCCAGACCCTCCACCCAGCCGAGCTCCAGGTCCCCCATTACTAGGGTCCTCTCCCCCAAAGGCTCATTCCAGGCTGTCTGTTGTTCTCACGAGCCACATGTCGGACACTCACCAACACAACACCTTCGCCATGTCGTCGATATCTAGGGCCTTCACAACCCGCAGGGTGAAGCAGAGCATCGACGTTGCCGCCGCTGCCAACAAGGCCAACAAGGAGAATGGTCCTCAACGAAGCAAGACCACCAAGACTCCTCATGTTTCAGTCCGGCACCAAATCTCAGCACCCGTCGAGCTGATTCACACCACCAACATGCTATCGTACAATGCGCCAGATATCTCTCGGAACACCTCAAGCAGCAACTCGACCAAGTCCGCCGAATCCGCCAAGTCTTCAGACGAAGAGCCAGACAGCCCGAGCACTGTCGCTTCCACGCCTCCCACCAGCCCTGATGTCGACCGCGATGAGCAGTCCAAGTCGATGCAGCCGAACCATCTCTCCTGCTACTTTGTCGCACCGGTATCAGCAAAGGATTACGTTGTGCCCGAGGTTCCTCCTGTGCCTGCTATCCCCAAGCGATCCCCTTCTCACACCAAGAAGGCGTCTTACGACGCCATCGCCCGCCAACGATCAATCTCAGCCATGTCGCGGGACTCGGATCACACTCTCTCCACCAAGGCCAGCTTTAGCTACTCAAGGACATCGTCAGCCTCGACCGCCGCATCCACCATGTCTCACAACTCCATGACACCCAGCATTAAGCCGCCAGTCCCTTCTATTCCTCCTGTCGCGTACCAGCAGCAACAGAAGCCTGCCATCATCGAGTCGCATCCTTTTGGTCGTGAGCTGGCTCAAGTTTCCGAGATTGCCGAGGACTACGGCATCAAGCACTCCATTCTCGACGAAGAGGAGCAGGCGCTGAAGGCGCAGGGCCTTTACAAGCACAGCGCCGAGGACTACATGGGCGAAGTGCAGAGCCTCTTCCACGCCTTCTTCCAGGAAAGCTACGCGCAGCCGCAGTCGCACGCCAGGCCGGCGGCGGCGGAAGTGTGGATCTAAACCCACGCGCTCCAAATGCCACAATGTCGACTTGTCGGCATTTTCCAATCATTCGTTGTACATATTGAAGTGAGTGCGCGCATGCGACTCAACTTTCACGCGGCATGCGGGAGTGTTCCGGTTCACATGGCAGCCTGAGGCGCCCGGGTTGGCGATATTTTGGTCCGGGGAGTAATCGGGGGATTGACTTGGATCCTTTTGGATGGATCCTGAATGGCGTTTTGAGTAAACAGGACTGGTAGAACATGTTCAGTCCAATGTGTGGATGTCCTCTCGCGCCCGACGGCAGCAAAACAAGACACAGTTTTGACCTTCAACTTTCTCGAGACGTTTTTGAAATGCATCCCCCCCCTGTGACAGTCCCCGATGAGCTGTTTCCAGGCAGAACTCAAACACTGTGGTTATTCCATAGTATAGCCTTAGATGAACGATCCTGGGTGGCTCCGGAATCACATCTGCCGGTGCCATGCGTGGGGTTCATCACGGTTCAGATTGATTGACGACCCCGCCCCCGGACGGACGGAGGTGCCCCGGACGGTTGTGGGTGTCCGCGTCGATCAATTGCCTCTTTGGGGAGGTACGCCAGCGGAGGGGCCGCCGAAATCGAGACTCGTGACACCTTTTCTTGCGAGCGACCCAACTTGAACCGGCAGGTCTGGCGCGGTCTGCGATCTGGCTCGATATAGGGTAGGCGACCAGTCGATAACCTAACGGCTGAAGCGAGGCAGTGCTACGTCATCGTCGGGCCGCGTGGTGCAGGGCGAGGGAAGGTTTGCGGCACGGCGTTACGGCTCGTTTGCTGGATTCCAAGGTGCTGCAGTGAACGGGACCGGCTGGGGCCATTCTTCACGATAGAATGCCAGATCATGCTGGACCATCCATAAAGTTAACCGAAGAATTAATGGGCGGGTAATAAAGTATGGATAGAATAAGCTTCATGGCATTCGAGTCCCACTTGACGTGTCACCGTGCCCTGCGACGTGCTTTACTTTGATGAAAAGATGCTTTGCGGAGAGAGTTCTCCTGGAATGGTCCCATGGGGATCTAGGGCCAGCGTTCAAGAGAGCCTTTCTGAAACCCGGTGTTGCGTGTTTACCGTGGGCGGAGAGACAGAACGGATTTGAGGCATGGAACGTTCGGTCCTTGGTTAAAGGGACAAGAGGTATTGTGTAGTGCGACGTTCTGTATCAAATTTGGAGAGCTGTATGGAACCTTCCTATCAATGATCGTCATGGCGTTCTCTTTTTAAAAGTTCGTAGATTCAATCAACTGCGGCTTCGTCTTCCAGATCATTTTTTGGGCTACTAGTTGCATTACCACGCATGAAAGCTCGGCTCGACGCATCCAGAGCAGGACCTCAGCAGTGAAGACTTTCCCTCCCCAAGGATTCCAACAGTGAACTGAACACGCTGGCATCCTGTAGTGGATCGAGAAGCCCATGGGTAGATACGACTCGGTGCCACTATCAAGGCTTTAAAGCCTTAGCGGAATGAGTTTGGCATGCTCACGAGGTCGATATCGCTTCCTGTGTCTACTTCAGCGAAGCTAGTAGACGAGCCTTCATGGCTGATCAAATCATTTGTGGACTGCCAACGGAGTTGACACGTAGTACTTGTGCCATACCGAGCACCTAAGCTTTAGGTCTATGCTCGTGGTTCGATGTGTCGGTGTTATAGAAGAACTAAGTTCTCATGATGGGAGGCCTTGCGAGCGTTGACAGGACGTCAAAAGCGTGAGATCGAACGCTTTGAACAACTCGTTCACATACAATCAGCGTTTCAACGGTGCCTGCCTCTGACCAACGGGACAGCCTCTTTGACACCCTCCAATTTCATGGCGAATTCATCGCCAGCATGAAAATTCTACTCCAAAGCTTACCTACTAAGCTCATGCATCAAAATTGTTGCAGACCAACGCTAGAAGCATAGATATCATGAGCCTTGCATATCACCGGCGCGACTATATGCATGTTGCTCCGTTGTCTTCTTCAGCGGTGAGCTGGGTGGCACTTGGAAGGGCTTCCACTAGGTAGTGAAGCAGTTGTTGGAGGTCAGGAAACTGCCGAGCAAACGAGTGTCTGGAATAGCAAGGCATTGGATCTCTGTTGCTCTGATGGACGGATTTTTGCCGAGAGAAAACGCGATGTTGGTGCTGGCGATTGCATGTCGCTTGTTATGCCCTGTGTGTGTCCTGAGACGAGTGCTCGCTCATGGTTTGTGCTGGATCGGTTTGTGTCGTAACTTTGCTAGACTTGTTTTTTGAAATTAAATGGTTTGATGACAGCAAGTTGGAACAACTTCAGTCACTTATAGAAAATATCCCATAATTTAAGAGCCACAGATCCTAAAGACATCTCAGCGGTGTCAATTGTTTTAGACCCAGCATCGTGTCGTGAAGTTGCCTTTGGCGGTGAAGTGGACCCATGTCGGTACCAGCCACAAAGAAGACTCGCAAAGCCACAGACCCCTGAACACGATGCGTCCGAGCTCAAGCTCCATCTTCAGGCCCCTGTCCGATCGATCATCAGCACTTTCGTTTCGCACCTGCGACAAACACCATGTTCACGTCGACCCTCCGCTTCCATCACCTCTCCCCTCATGCCTCACGGGTCTGAGCGAGAGCAATGGCGCCACGACTGCATCTCCTACGATTACCCACCAAGCTGCGTAGACGCGTGCGGCGGAACCGAATGGCGACTCTCCTCGGCCTTCTCGCGCTCTGCGTACTCCTGATTATTCCCTTCTACGTCATCTACAAGCCGCCCGCGGCCCTCATCCGACACTTTCAGCGCAAGTGGCCCGATGTCCTGTGGCAAATTGAGACGCAGCGGAAAATCGTTGCCCTGACCATCGACGATGCGCCATCCGAACACACGACTGCGATCGCCAAGCTCCTCCGCGAGAACGACGCCCACGCGACCTTCTTCGTCATCGGCTCGCAGGTCGAGAGCCGCCTCGACGCTCTCGGCGAAATCATACGAGACGGCAACGAACTCGGCAACCATGCCATGCACGACGAGCCCTCGCGCTCGCTGACCGACGCCCAGCTCGAGAACGAGATAAGGAGTGTCAGCAGGAAGATCAAGAGCGTGTACGACTACGAAAACATTCCCGCGCCAGCGAACTATTTCCGACCGGGCTCTGGCTTCTTCAGCGATCGCATGCGGATACTGGTCGACAAGCTGGGCTACAGGATGGTGCTCGGCAGCATTTACCCCCACGACCCCCAGATCAGCCGGCCGAGAGTCAATGCTCGACACATCTTGAGTATGCTGCGACCGGGTGCCATTATCATCTGCCACGACAGGAGAAGCTGGACTGTGCCGATGCTTGGGGAGGTCCTCCCGGAAATCAAGAGTCGAGGATACGAAATAGTCACTATTACGGATCTTGTAAAAGAAGGAACTCCGTGAGAGGACACCACTGGCACAAGAAGTACCTAACAACAAGTGCTGCGCCGTCGAAAATCAGAGGGCTGTCTGACACTTGACCGCTTGACACATGGCCGAGACACCAAAATTTCGATGAGACCGATGCTGAGCCGTTGGCCATAAGCCGGTCCTGGTTGTTCAGTCGCGCAGAGCGCCTGCTTGCGACGCCGCATCCCGGTCCCGTCTTGTATAGCCCGCATGAGGATCCATGTGTGCGTCAGCCTCCTATCAGACTGTCGTCGCACAATCCACGAGGTTTCGGCAATAGACTCCCGCTAGGCGAGGGGGCTGACGCTTGGCCTGCGAAGGAGAGGCGGCACGCCGCATAATCGAGTGCAGGCAAGCGTGATCCTTGTCAGAAGCGTTCGATTGCGCCGACTTGTTGTCTCCTAGGGCACAACCTCAGCCCTCGCTTGATGGACGGATTCAGTAAATGCTGCAAGTCTCAAGCACAAACTTTAGGGCTATTCACGCTTGCGCAACCAGACATGGTGCGACGTAAGGGCAGCGGAGGCTTCAAGATGAGGAGACTTCCCCGAACTACCTCAGCCCCAGGATGAACTTATGCTCGGCCAACTGGGCGCAGACAGGAGGTTAGCCTTGTCCGCCGTCGAAATCGATAGTCCGAATTAGAGTCCATCATGAAGTGGCGATAGAAGACGACGACAAAGTTTGAACCCCCAAGATTCCGGCCTCTGTGTCCTTACTCTTTCTGATGTTGTCTTTGACAACGAATTGTTTTGTGTATTCACTTGTTTCCGATGCGGTACATGCCAAATTTGCATACCGCTCGCCGACCAGTGGCTATCCAACGGTCCGTTGCATATCTCCGTACTGGGTAAAAGAGCAGCTCTGACCTCTGTCAGGCTCGCCAGACTTGTGGATGGTCTCCCACTCTGAGCGGATAGGAAATGAAAGTTACCTCTTGAACCATTCTCAGCTCTTTGTCTACAGTCCAATCGACCTACTGGCTGCAACTAGACGTCCACTCACATTCACGTCGATGCCAACAGGAAGGGGCGTCATTGCGTTGCTGTGAATCAGGTATACCTATAATTGTCAGCCAGGGCATTTCATTCACCGGCTGAACTAATAACTAACTTTAAAACCCACAACTTGCTCCCGTTCGAACCTTTTTCTTCGACAGCAACACAAGCCAGCTCTGGTCGCCTCACCGTCATTACTGCTGCCTCTCGCTTCTACACACCTTCCTTTGACTTGAAGCTATATATTCATATAGAGCTCTCCTCCGGTTGCCATCGCCATCGCCATGCATACCGAGATTGACGGAGAGGCCATCGCCCGGGCTCTGCATGGTCGCACTCTCCATGTTCCGAGCATGAGAGGCATATTCGAGCACTGGCCTCAGACTGTCCGAAACACACACTACCTGGCCCTGGTGGAGTTTGTTAATGAGCTCATCACTCAGTAGGTTCTGTGTGTTCTTTTGGCAAGGACGCGTTGCTAAGATGTTACAGAATGCTTAGTATCCCGAGTCGAGTTGCCCAGCACAAGAGCCAAGATCTGGCATTGTTCTGTGCTTTGTTCGTCCCCCCTTTTGGAGTTATAGACCCTTTGTAGTCTTGCTAATCATTCTGCAAGATGGTACCCACACGTTGATTGGGAGACGCTGAAGACTCTTTCCTACTATACGATATGGCTTTTCCTGTGGGACGACACCATTGACACAGCTGAGTACGATCTCGCTGATGATCTCGAGGAGGCCAACCTTTACCGCCAAGAAACGGTGGCCTCTTTCAACCAATACATGCGCAGCCCAGTCTCATCTGCGGATTGTGCAATCGACTGTGTGAACGGGGCCGTCAAGCTCTTTGGCCGCGATGTAGCCTCTTTCTTTACAGAAGGTTCGTCCTTTGATTCCAGGTTCCCCCTCCGACGAGTGGTACGCTGACGAGTGATCAACACAGAGACAACCGAGCGCTTCCTGCATGAAGTCGACGTCTTCATCACATGCTCAGGACTGGAACAGGAGTACCGGATTTCAGGCAAGATTCTGGAGTACGATGAGTACATTGATCTTCGCCTCGGCACAACGGCCGTCTACACCTTGACAGGTCTTGTCGAGTCGGTGCAACCCGAAGTAACCAATACGTGTGCGTGCTAACATGGTCAGGTTTATCATTGGTGAGCATCTGCCACAGCACATCATGAACAGCCAGGCCCGCCGTGACGTCTGGAGGGAAGCCAACATTGCCATCATCATGTACGTCTCTGCGAAAACCGCTTCGAGAGCCCCCCGCCTCCATGAGTAGTTAGCTGATATTGCATGTAGTGTCAATGACATCCTTTCTCTGAAGAAGGAGCTCGTGAGTATCGCCATTGACACACAACCTAAGTTGTCGCTAACCACTACAGCGCACCATGTGCCTCATCAACGCCGTCAGCGCCCTCATGAAAGAAGGCATGGACCTCCAGGGCTCCGTAGACGAGCTGCTCGTCCGTCTCGTCGACTCAGTAGCCCGGTTTGATGCGGCGGCCTCGGTTCTCGATCGCGCTACTGAACAGTCGCCGATGCTCAACAGGACGGTCCGGAGATATTGTGATGCCTGTCGCACCATGGTTACTGCTACGTACGAGTTTAGGTACGTCTGCATGTGTGTGTCCCCGCAAATGAAAATTACATGCTAACATCAAGCAGTCTTGTCTCCGCACGGTACATGCTGCCGGAGTTTGTGGCGCCAGATGGCTCAGTGCGTATTCCTCTTTGATTTCCGCGGACGAGGATGGGACGGCTTGCGCTGCAATGTACGTCTTCATTTGCCTCGGTGTCTGCATAGACGGGAAATACTAGGTAGAATTCCACGTGCCTGCATTTTAGGCACATGGAAGCAAAATTCGAGTTTCGATTTGACAAAACATTCACTTTAAGGCAGATAGCTCGCGACTGTCGATATGTCTGTCCTACCATTGATGCACGCCGTCTACCATGCCAAGAACATCTAGATGACGAGAGACCCCCTCAGATCATCCAGAGGCGTCTCATCCTCCTTGATCAAAGCCGCGAATCCCTCCACAAGATCATCCCGCAGGTCCTCCCACCCCTCGACACCAATGCTCACGCGCAGCAGCCTCTCATCGCACTCGCCGTCGCTGACCCTGCGCCACTCAATGATGCTCTCCACACCGCCGAGGCTCGTCGCGTGGTGGAACAGTCCCAGCTTGCTCGGCAGCCGGCGCGCGTGGCTCTTGTCCTTCATGTAAAAGGCAAAGACGGGGCCGAAGCCGCCGGGCATCTGCTTGCGCAGCCAGCTGTCGGGATCGCGCGCCCCGGGCTGCAGGCTCGCGTGGCTGACGCGCAGCACGAGGCGCGAGGCGGGGCTGCCGTCGCGGCGCGTCTCGGCGTCGAGCCAGGCGACGAGCTGCTCGGCCGACCGCGACTGGCGCAGGACGCGCAGCTCGAGGGTGCGCAGCGACCGCAGGCCGAGCCAGCCCTCGAGGCTGCCCATGACGCTGCCGAGGAAGATGCGGTCGAAGCGCAGCAGCGTCGCCATGTCTTCCTTCTCCTCGGCCGCTTTGCCGGTGGCAGAGGCGGCGGCGGCGGCGGTGGCGGCGGCGCGCGCCGGGTTGACGGTGAGCACGCCGCACAGCATGTCCGAGTGGCCGCCAAAGTACTTTGTGCCCGAGTGCAGCACGACGTCGGCGCCGAAGGTGAGCGGGTCCTGTAGGGGCGGCGGCGCAAAGGTGGCGTCGACGGTGAGATAGGCGCCGGCGGCACGGGCGCGCTCGGCGTAGGCGACGAGGTCGAGGGCCTCGCCCGTGGGGTTCAGGGGCGTCTCGACGTGGATGACGTCGCCGGGCCGCAGCTGGGCCCAGACGTCCGAGTCGGCGCGCGGGTCGAGCGGCAGGTCAAAGGCCTCGAGGCCCGTGAGGCGGTTCATGAGGCGCACGATGCCGAGGCAGCCGTGGTAGCAGGGCCCGATGGCGATGCGGCGCGGGTTGAGGCGCACGAGCAGGGCGTGAAAGGCGGCGAGACCTGAGGCGTAGGTCATCGAGGGCCCGTTGAGGGCTGACGAGAGGATGGCCTCGAGGCGCGTCGTGTTGGGGGCCGTGGCGCGGGAGTAGATGTGCGAGTCGAGGGGAGCCGCGGGCTGCTCTCATCAGCATTCTGCATCTCACTTCTCTTCGCCTGCCGCCAAGGTCAAAGGGTAGGCAACAACGAGACGCACATCGGTATTGTCCCAGTGCTTGAGATCATCTGGGTTGCGACTGTACTCAAAGGTCGTCGAGACGTGCATGGCCGGCGCGATGGCCCGGTGAGCGCTGATGTGGTCATCGCTGTGAATGGCGCGTGTGGCCAGCGAGAGCTGTTTCGGCTGGGCGCCAGAAGTGTGCCCAGAGGCGGTAGGCTGAGGGGTCTTGTTCGACATGGTGGTGTCGCAGAGTGTGTGTGCGGTGACGATGGCGTTAGCAGCCGTCGTCGTGGTGTCGGTGATGGAGTGGCGATGACTCGACTTTAGTATTTCAGTCACTCTGATGGCCCATGAATGATGGAGGCTTTTTCGCTGGCGTCGAATCCCGCCATGTGGGGGGCGTCCATGGTGACAAATGCCGAATACATGGGTCCTGTCGCCATGAGTGCATGTATGCATCATGCGATCCAGCAGCTAGTCGATCACGTCAAGTGAACGTTTTCACTCTTCCTCTCCGACCTCCCACCGCCGCCGCCGCCGCCGTCCTTTTCGCGCCCTGGCGATGCTGGGCATTGCGCTACGAGAGGAGGGGCACAAAGACCCCGGCGCCGCGGGGCAGATCCCGATCTCGGAACCCCGCCAAAGGCCCATGAAGGCTACGACACGAAGGGCGCCAGAGGATCGTCTTGCAAGTTGACATGTCTCATTACCATTAAAAAAGCCCAATCGCAAACTGTTGTGCATCGTCTTTTCCCAGCCGTCTCTTGCCGTCTCTGTGTTCTCTGCATCATCTGTCGGTGGGGGAGGTCAGCCCTCGTCGAGGCAGTCAACCCTCGTAACCATGCCGCATCCTGCTTTCTCCCATAGACCGTAGCGAATGCGTTTCCTTGCCGTCCCATACTTGATGTCCCATGGAACCCCGTCCTGAACGCCTTCCCAAGCAAATAAACGAAAGTCTATAACCGATACAACAAAGGCCAGCAGCAAAGGCCAGCAGCAAAGGCCAGCAGCAAAGGCCAGCAGCATGACTCTCGAACTGGCCTCACGCATCATCAGTGCACCTCCTGCGCCTCAACCGGCGTCGCCGTCGTCGGCCTTTCGATGCTGCCGAGCTCGGCACCCTGGCCGCTCTGGCTCTGTCCTCGCTTACGTCCGAGGAACCGCGACACGGCATTGTTGTTGGGCTGGCTCGACGGCGTCTCCTTGTGCAGATCCGTGTTCGAGTCGCCAAAACGCGCAAAGAGGCCTCGTTTGCGCTGTGGTTGTCCGTGCTTGTGGTCGTCGTTGAGGCCGACGTCCTCAAAATGAGATTCCTCAACCGTCGGCGGTTCGTTGGCGGCCTTGCGATCAAAGGCCGACCGTGGCAGACGGGGAAATCGGTGCGAGTCGAGAGATTGGCGTGCCGGGAGGTCATGCGACGGCATCGGCGACCGGGCCGAGATGTCCTGGAGAGCAGAAATACAATTAGCCACATGTTCCGGAGGTTCCGGTTGCGAGCAAACTCAGATGCCGGTGGGGCGGCGCCTCGGGCGCGGCAAGAGGAGAAAACATACAAATGATCGTCTGTAGGAATCGAAAGACTCGCGGGAAATTGAAAAGTGCTCAATGTCGCCGACGCTGCCGTTGCGCGTGTCTGTCGAGTTGCGGGCTGACGAGAGATACTTCTTGGGCCAAGCGGCCTTCTCTTCTGTAGGTGACGGCTGTGCACAGCATCAGTAACGCTCAGACGGTTCACAGCCCAGGGACGGACGGCGACTGCACTCACCGGCAGGTAGACTCCACTATCATTGACAACTGGTGGGCGGTGCTCATGTCAGTCAAGGGTCTCGTGACGAATGCAAGGCGGGTGGGTTATTGGGTGGCGCGTTGTGACTTGGCACAGCGCAACAGGTGAGGAGATAGAGAGGTGGGCAGGTCGACTCAAGGGAGGGTCGGGAGGCACGAGGGAAAAGAGCAGAGGGAACAGCAACGCATACCGCTCATCTTGTATTCGCCATTGTCCGGTCCGCTGTTGATGCTGAGGGCAGAAGAGGCCTTGGAGCCGACAGTGTCGACCTTTTCGAATCCGGGGTGCGAGGGGTTGAGACGGTCATCGGCAGGCCGGGCGTTCTCATCCTGAACGCCGATGGCAGCGCCGGGTCTGCGGGCGAAGGGATTGCGGATGGGCATTGCTGTGATCTGTGCGATAGCAGAAGGATGTGTCAAGACGGCGAGGAAGTCTTGGCCAAGCAGACAGCAAAGCAGGAAATTGCGAAAAAAGTTGTTGTAAGGGAAGAAAGGAATCCGTTCAGGTGGTGCGCCGGTGAAAGTCAAAAAGGCTATTGCTGAGAAGTCAGACAGTGTCAGAGCAGAAGCCGGTTGGAGAAAGGTCGAGGAATCAGATGTGATCGGATCGATTGCAGGGTGGACCTGACATGGGGGCGTGGATCAGGTTCAGTGTAAAAGAGCTTAGTCGTGGAGATGGAAGGGGGAACAGGAGAGAGGTCCCCAAGTCCCCCAAGACGGCAGCACCATCAGGACCAGGGCCGCCAGGGTCGTCTGCTGAACCTTGATCAGCGTTCCTGGGGGGGTGTTGACTAGGTAGTGATGAGCGCTTGAATCTGGCATGGCGGCGAGTCGGGGCGCCAGTAACGTCCGAAAGAGCGGAGGTTTGGGCGACGATCAGGGCAGGCGCTGCATTGCGCGTTGTACCTCGAGCCAAGTCTCCGTCAGACTGCCATTCTCGTCAGCATTCTCGTCAGCAGTGCCATCAGCAACAACCAAGCGAGCACGGAAAGTCAGCCTGTGGGCATTGCAGCCTCTCAGCATGGGCAACACGGGACAGCTGCGAGATGGGCATCCTCTGGATCTCACGCCAGCTGTGTGGTTCGTTCGCTCCCCTTCTTTTGCCTGGTGTCCCTTGCTGATCTCAAGGCAAAGGCATGAACTATGGGCATTGGCCATGTTTCGAGGCGAGAGATGGCCGATTTGCAGTGTCGTTCGCTTGGTTGATGGATAATTGACTTGCTTTTGAGGTACATGTACCTTGCCTTCAGTGACCCGCTTCTTGGCAGTTCCGGTTCCGTGAATGTTCGCTGTTGCCGTGAACCCCACGTCGAAGTCCTTCTTCAGCGCTCGTCTCCAGCGATCGGGTTTTCTCTGTCACGGCTTGTCTTCAATGCTGCCCCATCGGCGATAGAGGAAAGCATGGGTATCTCGACTGGCTGGCCCCTAGACGACGCTTGTCGTCATCAAAGCCTCCTGCCTAGCCGTAGTGGTGCCTCGCCCTTGTCTGCCATGCGCGCGAGGGCTGTAGCGGCCCAAAGCAAGGCTGGCTAAATGGAAGCCGGCACCATACGCGGACCCAGACGATGCCGACGTACAATGGCGTAGCTGGCCAGTATAGTTGCATGCTGGGTGCTTGCTGGCAGTGTTTCTGAGACCTGGCGAGGGCGGGGAGGGAGCAAAGAGGGGGCAGGGAGTTGGGCGGTGGGCGGCGGCAGGATTGATTGACACTGATTCACAGGCAAGACAGGGTCACTGACTTGGCAGGCAAGAGGGACCTGACCGGAGTGGCCAGAACTGGGAAGTGGGGCACGACTCGCGACTTCCTTGGCTGACGCTAACTGACTTGACTTGTACTGCACGCACAGTGCGTTGTGTCCCAACTAGTCAGCGACACTGTATCGGCGACCCCGTCGTCACTACCTGCCCGCTTACCATACCTAAGGTACCTATCCCGCCCCCCCACCTCTCCACATGATGACGATTATGTCATCAAAATGGACCGTCAACTGCTCCTTCCTGAGACGTCCTCAACTCCTGACGAGTTCAAGTCCAGGCAACAATATCGAGCCACATATCACAACGGGTATCTTGCTTGGACTTAAATTGTATGCATTCATCTATTCATCCACCATTGTTGCACACCTTGAGACACCACCAAACATTGGATATCATGCCTCGCTCTACTCAGCCATCATCTTACCCTCCGTACCCTCGGCTCCAAAAATCTCAGCCTTGGCCGAGCCAAACTTCCTGGTCGGCGTGAGGTGGGCGAACAGGTAGTCCAGTTCCTCATATGTACGACCCTTGGACTCGGGAAGACGGAAGAACGCCCACACAAACACTGCGAACGCGGTGCTCCCCCAGATGAATCCCGTGTACCCACGCAGGTTCAGCTCGCCCGGGTTCATAAAGTACGGCTGCAAGACCTGCGAGATGACCGAAATGACATAGTACGAGTTACGCGCCAGGCAAATCGTCTTTTGCCTCAGTCGCGTCGAGCCAATCTCGGCCGGGATGGCCCAGCCCAGTTGACCCGCCGACAGCTGGAAGACAAAGGTCCACACGAGCGTCAAGACTGCCTGTACCATACCCACCGAGTTGCGATCCGTCCAGACGTTCAGGATGCCAATAATGTACAACACTGTGGCCATGGTGGCCATGCCGCCAAGGTAGATGCGCCGGCGTCCGAAATAGGGCATGAGGCAAAACCAGTTGACTAGCGTGCCGACGAGCGCCATGGCCGTGCCGCCCGTGTTGAGGTAATACGTCTGGTCCGTGTCGAGTCCGACCTGCTGGAAGAAGTAGGTCGAGTTGTATGCAAATGAAGAGCCGGCGAGCACCTGTCCGGCAAAGGCCACGCACGCAATCTCCGTGCGCCGCAGTTCGGTACCTCGGAAGCAGTCCCAGTAGCTCGTGCCGGCTGTGAGCTCAATCTCGACATTGTTGGTGTGCACAATCTCGGCCAGTGTTGCCTTGACGCTGAACTTGGACGACCCATCGGTCACGTCGTCGCGCTGTAGCCGGCGCAGTGACTTCTCGGCATCCTCGAGGCGGCCCATGCGAACCAGGTGCCACGGCGACTCGGGCGCAAAGCTGAGGATAGGGATCAGGAAGGCGGGCCACGTCCACTGCAGAGCAAAGGGAATTCGGTACGCCCACTCGTCGGGCCGGTCGACGAGGCCTGCGAGCACGCCCGCAGCAATAAGCTGGCCGATAATGAAGCACATGTTGGTCCAGCTCGTGAGATAGACGCGCAGGCTCATGGGCAGAACCTCGGAGGCGTAGGCCGGCGCCGACGTGGCGAAGACGCCCCAGGGAAGGCCGCAGAAGAACTGACCGATCATGAGGATGACAATGCTGTGGGCGAAGAAGGTCATAAAGATAAAGGCCGACAGCACAAACAGCGAGATGATGAGGATTCTCTTCTGACCAAATTTGGCAACGAGGTAACCGTTGAGAAGGACGCCAATGAAGCAGCCCACGCCGCTGGCGTTACTGAGACCGGCTTGCCACGGAGCTGACAGTTGGTGCTTGCCGTTATCATCGATATACTGGCCGTACTTCTTGGCGAATTGGGGGTAGGCGTAAAAATTGCCTATCAGGATTGTGTCGTAACCTATCGGCCGACTCTGTCAGTACTCTCTCGTTGCGTCGAAACTTCAGGTCCAACAGGGGATCACAGAAAGGGGAGAGGTGAGACGCACCTTCCATAATGACACACATGGACACCATCAAACTCCAGAAGATAGCCATGGGATAGGCACGCAGAGCCTCTTTCAGGGTGATGGCATGCTGCGCTTCAACAGCCTCTTGGGCGCGGGCCGCCAGGACGGTGGGCTCGCTGAGGGTAGCATCTTCGATCTGGACATTGTCCATCTTCTCCGTGGTACCGGCCATCTTCAATACCGCCACAGTTGGCTGGTGATAGTCGCAGTAGTGGTGATGCTGCTCGTCCACTCGATCCCTGAAGACAGATGAGAGAGAGACCCAAGTGGTTGTTGATGCCGTGAGTGGAGAGAGTGGTATGATACTTCAGAGAGAAACCGTCGTCTCAGATGGCGAGGGCAGTCATTTCCTATATAGACATGACGACGGTGGAAGGCCATGTATGAGGGACGATGGACGACGAGGCGATGTTGTTCATGGATGGTCAAACAAGTCTGGGCGTTGGCGCAAAATTCGCGGCATTCAGCCCGCCTCTAGACTAGCCTGAGTTGTCATTTGTCCCCAACCTTGGGGCTCGCCTGTCGATAAACATCACGCTAGAGATGTTTAGTCCGGGGCAGGAGGTCTGGGGATCGAATGCGATGCAGTGCGGGGGCTCCGCGTGAGTGCGACCATGAGAGGTTCCGGGAGGTAGAGATCATCGTCAGTCATCCATGGCAGCGCAAACACACGAGTCAAGTATGCTAACCCGCACCAAGGTTTTCTTTTCGGCGGAAAATTTGTGCGGAAAACTCGTGCGGAAAACTCGACACTAATGCCACGCGAACAAGTCTTTCACAGCAAGTGATCGAGCATAGAATGCGACGTTGGTGACAAGAACCATTCAGTTGCATCCATGATTGGGCCGCTGAATCTCTCGCTCGCCGAAATGCCCAGGGGCTCGAGCTGTCAACCAAACACTCCCACGTGAGGAGTTGATCGATGCTCGAAACTTTGCGGGGCAATGCATAAATTCGCCGAAATGCCCCTCATTCTCCCCGTACCGTTCGTATATGGGTGTTTTCCGCAAGTAAACCGACGAGTTTCCCTGCCATTCCCCGCCGCTTCTCGGCTTCGACGGCTTCAAGAGAACATTCTACGGCACAAAGTCTATTAAGCTCGACGACCCGAGCAAAGAGGTGCCGGTATACTCCCTTCGTCTACAATCATGTTGCATAGCTTGATCTCAAGCCCGAGGCTCTTTCTTCCGGCCTTGTTCCGATCCTTGGTCTAAATTACTTGCCCAAGACTCAATCCTGGACCAGGGCATCCCTTGTCGGATACACGCACATAGAGCTTCTCCGCCATTCATCGCAATCATGGCACCACTTGCCACAACGTCCACCATCGTATCTCTAATAAGTGTTGTCAGCGCCCTGAACAATGGCCTCGCAAGGACGCCACAGATGGGATGGGTACGTGCGTCCCTCTGTGCCGGCGACAGACATGCTCACCGTATCAGAACAACTGGAACGCACTCGGGTGTGACGTCTCGGAGGCTCTGCTCCTAGACACATCCAAAAAGCTTGTCGACCTTGGCCTTCGCGACCTGGGCTACAACTATGTCGTCCTCGACGACTGCTGGTCCGGCGGTCGTGATGAGGATGGCTTCCAGTACGAGGACCGCACCAAGTTTCCGAGTGGCATGAAGGCGGTCTCGGACGCCATTCATGACATGGGCATGCTCTTTGGCATGTACGGCACCGCTGGTGAGATGACCTGCGCCCGCTACCCGGGCTCTCTCGACTGGGAAGAGAATGATGCCAAGTCCTTCGCAGCCTGGGGCGTCGATTATCTGAAATACGACAATTGCTATTCCATGGGTCGCCACGGGTCCCCCAAGATCTCCTTCGACCGTTTCAACACGATGCGCAAAGCTCTGAATGCCACCGGCAGGCCGATGGTCTACTCTCTGTGCAACTGGGGCGAGGACTACGTCTACTCTTGGGGCGTTTCCATTGCCAACTCGTGGCGCATGTCAGGCGACATCTACGACTCGTTTTCGCGGCCCGACGTGCTTTGTAGCTGCGAAGACCCGAGCAACCCGTTGTGCACATCGTGGGGCACGCACTGCTCTGTGTTGAACATCCTCAACAAGGTCGCCGCATATGCTGACCGCGCGCAACCCGGCGGCTGGAACGACCTCGACATGCTCGAGGTCGGGCAGGGTGGCATGACGGATGACGAGTACAAGGCGCACTTCACCATGTGGGCGCTCGTCAAGAGCCCGCTGCTCATCGGCACCGACCTGAGGAAGCTCTCTGCCTCGGCGCTGACGATTCTGAATAACCCGGCTATCATCGCTGTGAGCCAGGACCCGGCGGCGAGGTCAGCCCTGCGCGTGGCCATTGACTACGACGTCAAGAAGGACAAGTACGGCGTCGGCGAGACGCAAGTCTGGAGTGGGTGGTTGGCAAACGGTGACCAGGTCGTTGCATTTTTGAACGCGGCGGACGAGGACCGTAAGATGAAGATTGATCTCGAGGAGGTCTTTGTTAGGGATGGTCCGGGGGGCTCGGCGGAACAGGTGCAACATGAGTGGCAAATTTATGATCTCTGGGCTAACCGCATGTCTGATGACGTTGCGGAGGGTCTTGTCGACGCCAGTGAGAAGAAGGATGGAGACAAGGCGGCGAATCTGTTCGAGATAACCAAGTGGTATAATTCGACTGAGCTGCCGTACAAGGAGGGCTTGCTCAAGGACGATGAGCGTCTTTTCGGCAAGCATATTGGTTCAGTCAAGGCAAGGGGCGTCATTGAGGCCAAGGTGCCGAGGCATGGTGTTGTTGCCTACAGATTGAGGACCAAGGCCCCGGGGTTGAAGAGGTACTCCATGACCAAGGAGGAGCTGTAGATGCTTCCATATGATGTTGTGCGGGAACCCCGTGAAACAACTGAGATCCAGACTCATACCACCCAAGAGCACTTCGAGTCGTTGCTTCAATGCCGTTTGACTGCCTGAACGTATTATTCCGAAGAAGAAGCCAAGAAAAACCTGGTGGTTGACAGATGAATCTGATAGAACCCTGGGTTTCCTGCTTTCAACCGCGGATGATGTGAGTTCTGGACACTAAAAGTATACATGCGAGAAGCACAGCCTTAGCACATTATGTGAAAAGTCTCATTCAAAGCCGACGTGAGCGAATCAAAAAGTTAAGGTTCAGCTGAAGCGCAACTTGTCTAGCCTATACAGTAAACGTCTCTACCGCAAGGATAGTTGTCAAAGCAAAGAGCTGCACCCAGGTCATCCTCTTTCTATCAACAAGGCACACGGATTCCTAAAGTCAGGGGCATAGCAACACCTCCTCACTCAAGTCTCATCTCTGCTCACTTGTGCAGCCTCGGCGCCCTCTCAGGATCCCTCCAAAACAAGCACTGTTCCCTCCGCACGGCATCTTCCTCCACAGCCGGTCCACCAGGCTGCACAACAAGCTGCTTGGGCGGGGTCGAGTCGACGCCGTAGCCCGATGGCGCATAACCAGGCCACTCAGGCGTGCCGCTAGCCCTGTACGTGTTCGGGTCGCCAGAAAGCACAAAACTGGCGAGATAGGCGTGGAACGCGCGGCCCTGCTCGGGGTACTGCGTGCCGGGCTCGTCCCAGGCATACGTGCGGTCGATGGCGTGCGGGATCCCCTGCCACGCGGGCGCGCCGTTGTTCGTGTCCCACCGGAGCTTCCACGTTGGCGCGCCCGCCGCCGACGTCCTGTATGCCGTCTCTTGCACGGGGCAACGGTAGGCAAAGTCCGTCCAGGCGGCGGCGAGGCGGTTGTACTGCGTGCTGTTGGGGGAGTTTGCGTACGGGGAGCTCGCGTCCGTCGCCGGGTCGGGATACAGCTTGACGAGGAGCGCGAGGTCCTTCTCTGTCAGATCGGGGGCCGACGTCTTCATGAAGGCGACGAATTCGGCTTCCGTCTCGAGGGTCCCGGGGATGAACCCCTTTGCCTCGTCCGTTGCGGACGTCGCCAGCGTCGGGACGTGGAAGAATGTCTCGTCATATCCGGACTGAGATCCGGCCTTCTCGAAGAGCGCTGCGTTCTTGACCGGCTGCCATGGCCAGGTGATGACGGGGTTGTACTTGGCAAATACTTCGTACCCGGCGTCTCGGATCCGGCCGACGTCGGTGCTGCGGAGGCACTTGAAGACATCCTTGCTGCGTGCTTGGCCATCGCATCCTACGGACGAGAGAAACTCGACGTACTGAGTCTGGTAGAGGGGATATGTGGCGTTGGGAAAGGTTCTTGCTGTCACGGAACCGGACTCGTAAATCACGCGGGCGAAGAGCTTCTCTCCAGCTGTCGTGCCGTAGTCATGAAAGTGGTGGATGCCTATGAGATCAGTTTTGTCAGGGTGCTGTCACAAACTTCCACCCCAATGGCAGACTTACCAACCGCGTGCCCTCCAGCGCTGAGTCCGCCCAGCGTCACAGTCTTCGGATCGGCTCCGAACGACGCGGCATACCTCTGAACGAAGCGCAGGAGCAGCTGCTGGTCCAGCACACCAAGGTTTAGGAGGTCTGCATCCTGGAGAAGCTCCGAGGGCAGCGATCCCAGGGGGCCGAGACGATAGTTGAAAGTGATGACAACCAGGGGCTCCTTCGAGTTCGCGACAAAGGCAGCGCCGTCGAAACCCTGCTGGTTGCCATGGTTGAATGCGCCACCGTGGACCCATACAAGCGTGGGAAGCTTCTCGTCCAGCGGAACACCTTTGGTTCTGAACACCTCAAGCTGAAGACATGCTTCAGACTGGCTTTCCGGGGGAACTGATGCCGTGGCCCGCTGGATGCATGACTTGCCGCTCTTTGTGGAGGCCTTTGTGCCTCGAAAGGCCTTTGGCCAGTCAGGTTTCTGAAAGCGCCTGTTGCCGATGGGCTGCTTCGCATAGTCAATGCCTAACCAAGCATCGACGGTCGAGGCCAGAGGTTTGCCGCTGACTGTTTCGTTGACGACGGTGCCGTAGAACGAACCGTAACCCTTCAGGGTGACTTGGTTGTAGACGGGGGCCGGCTTGGCTGAGACGAATTCAGCAGCCGTCGCGACGGCGAAACAGAAGAGTGTGGTAGCTTTCATCGCGTGTGTGAAGAACACAGTACCGGTCTCTCCGGTCGTTCAGTCAGGTAGACGAAAACCCGCGCAAGTCAGCCGAAGCTGGCGGCCAGGGAAGATGCTCATTCCGCTTTATACAACATCAAACCCTCAAGTTGGTCGAAGGGGCCGAGTCATATCTCCGGGGATACTCCTCTGGTCCGCTATACTAGGTGCCGGATGTCGCTCGCACGTTTGCTACGCAATCAACCATTGGATTTTGATGGCCAAAGGTTCCCACAGCTTCTGATGGTGCCATTCAATGGGTCAAGCTTCAAATTGAGCCATGGCCGGCATTAAGCAAGGGGGTCCCGGGAATGACGTAGAAAAGAGCTGCGAAGTTGATTGCCGACGCCCCTCATTCTTTATTAGTGCCCCCGGCACCTTTATTTAGCACCCCTCTTTGGATCCGGGGTAGACTGATTGTCCCTGGTCACACTTCTGAAATCCGGCCGCACGTCGGTGTACACGTTGGCATGGTAGAGATCATGCCGAATCGGGAAAATCATTTTCCTCAAGGCAAGCAAACACAGCTAAAGGCCCCTCACTTGGCCATGCTTCGGCTCGAACGGCCTGTCGGGCTGCCAGGATATCACCGAGTTGCCATGCTTATGGACCAGCCATCTCACCACACGACCTTGGATCCTTTTTCCTGGCCATACCTCAGGGTTCTGTCTAGCATGGAAACAACTAATATCAACTGTTTTGCGTCTAGGCACAGGTCAATCTCCGCCAAGGCTGGTAAGACTCTACAAGTCACTTGGCCCAATGTCGTGACCAAAATGCGATCGTGTCGAGCTCCAGGGGCTGCCATAGCGGACGCGTCCTTGATGTTCCTGACGACGATAGGAATATCCATCACGTCAAAGTTTTTCATGAAGAACTGCAAACTACACTAGTCATCCGCGAGGACTTTTCTCTCAGAATCCATCAGTACACTTCGAATGACATTCCTGCACTCCCAATCTTCGACCGTCTGCTGCGCAAGGATCCTGCGCTCCTCGGCATCAAGCTCTCGACGGGCTCGGTCAACATCCTCCAGCTCCAGTGTGATGCGGGCCTCGAGAGCTACGATGTTCTGTCCCAATGCCCTAGCTTCTTCCTCAACCTCAGATATGAGCTCTGCCAGCACCGCCGAACGCGCAGTATCCTGCAACGCTTCGGCTAGACTCAACGCGGACGTGATGATGCGACTAGTATCCCCTGCGGTGATGGGCAGTCTATGCACAGGGGTATGCCTCAGCTCGGAGAGTTGGGCAAAGATGCGTCGAAGCGTGTCTTGTGGAACGCTCAACGCGTTGTCAGGAAGCTTGGGGAAGTTTTCCTTGAATACTTTGGCCCAAAGTCTTGGCGCCATGTCGTCCATTCAACGGCCACGGCACAGTCCCAGTCTTTGGCCCGCAGGACGTCGGGGAACCACTTCGTCGCAAAGTCGAAGCAGCACTCTTCAGCTATGCGCTGCGTCGTTTCGAGTACAAAATGCTGTGCTTCGTAAGGGAAACAAAACGAGTGCAAGGTTGGAGTCGACGGTGCGTCGTGTTTCATAGTAGAAGGAAACAAATCTGAAATACTAGCCAGGGTCATCTGCAAAAGGGTGATATCTGAGGAACTAACCCGCAGTAGCTTGTGTAAAGCCGTGGTTGTCAGTCGCAGAACCGGGCGGCGCGCTCTTTCCCCCCTTTACAGCCTGGGTATTTTCCTGAGACGCGTCGGAGACCGTCGAGGGACTCCTCACAGGCTCTGAACTGCTGGCCTTGGGCGTTTCGAGCTTCGGGACAGGATCCTGTTGCACCGGACATGGATCAGCAAACTCGGCGTCAGCCCGGTCTTCGGACTCGAAAACTCCAACTGTGCACAAGTGTTGCACGATCTCGAGTATTTTTTCGTGAGAGAATCCTAGCGAAACAAGGCCAAGATTCGCTTTATGGATATTGAGTGCCTTCCGTATTGCCTTGGCTTTCTTGACTTTGGAACGGCTGCCCTTGAAATCGACCGGCAAGCTAGGTGAACGCGTTTCTGGTTAGAAAGCGAATACTTCATGTTCGCACCTGATTGCGTTTGGGGGAAGAAAAGATCTAAAATCAAAGGAGAACTCGGTGACTGGGGTTCCTGAAGGGGAGAACACCAATAGATTGTGTGATATGCATTGTGTCACGGGTTGGGCCCGTTGACGCTGTATAGGCATTCACCTTGTGCCATAGTTTAGTTCCAGGCAACCTCCTGTCCTATAGAATACCTAGCTACCTTATGCAATACACACCTTCCTTTCGCACTTGACCCCCTCCAACAGAAACAATGTCGTTGATTCAGCACGTATCCTTCAAGCTTAAATGGATAGCTGCCGCGAGGCACTTACGACTATGTGAGGGCTGACAGGAGCCCCTTTCGGGCCAGCCGTAGCACATTGGTAGGCCTCCCGCATATGGCTTGTTGGCCGAGTGGATGGCAAGTATCAGCCTGTGGCATCCCATAACCTAAGACATGAGGTAGCCGAATATTTATCATCATCATCAAGGCAATCACCGCTTTCATGAAGCATGGTCGATCTAGCATGAGGGGTATGCGAATCTTATGTGAAACGGCGTTGACGTGGGTTGACACATCCCAAGCGGAGGTTTTGATCAACCAACCTGGAAAGGCCTCGGTGCCTGCCACTGGTAAACTTAAGTCAAGTGGCAACCAAAGCGAGGTTTTCCAAGCCGGGAACATAAGCAGCAGAGCTCGTCAAGTTGGTTGCACAGAAGGTTAGGCTATAAAACGGGTGAACTTGACCGAACGCTGATGGTCAAAACCTGAAAGGTTGATACGATTGGAGAGATGCAAGATGTGATTCAATTCCTCTTCCTCTTCTTTGAATAAGCTGACTTTTATACAAGACTTTGACACAATCCACGATCCATAATTGGTAATTGATTGCAAGGTGCAAAGCGTTTTGCAGAAACAGAGAAGGCGGCTCTCTCAAGCTGATAGTCGTACAAATAGGAGTAGCTTCGAAGCTCGGAAACAGAAGCGGAAGCAACACATTGCCTGATTTGACAGACTGGTTATAAGTCAGCAATCCCTCTTAGTGGAGAGAGACGGCATTTTATTCTAGAGCCGTGAGCGTCTGCCCGACGTTGGCTTTGGTTGAGCCAGGGGAAGCAGACTCATCGTCAGAAGGAAGCTCCTCGATAAAACCAGGCTCCGGAAACACGGGCTGACGATGCGAGCGAGTCGAGAAAAAAGGAATCGGGTCTTCGAATGAGTAATGAGACTCTCGTGGTTTATTGCCGGGCTCATATCTGCCATCGCATCCAGAAGTTGAAGGTCGAACACCTGAGTGCTCAGGATTGGCAGGACCTCGGAACGCGTTGGAAGACCGCGGATGCTGGCTAGTTGAGCGCTGGGAGCTCATGTTGGCGAAGTAGTGTGCACGTTCGCGCGCTATCCGCTGTTTCTCTTGGTATGAGGCCCCTGAGCTATGAATGTACGTCTCATTTGGGGCGAACGAGTTGTGAGCGTATTGTTGAGGTCGATAACCATGCTGAGGTGTGTCACACTGCGCAGAATACTTGCGATCTGGAGCCTGACCTTGAGACATGTACTCTACGAATGGATCAGAAGTTCCGTTAGAGTCTTGAGCAACCTTCACAGCCTTTGCTTGTGGGTGCAAAGAAGCACCTGAGCCTTGAGCCACCGGCGGTGCTGAGTCCTCGTACTTCCGTTGACGGACGTGTTCAGTTTCGTGGAAAGCTTGAGGAAATTCGGGAGCAGGCTTTGTAAAGGTCTTCCGAGGACGCCGAGCTTTCTGCCCCTGCCCATTGATGAGAGGCGAATGGTACTGGGCAGTCTTCACAACAGCTGGCGCAGCTTTCATGCGCCGTTCGACAGGCGGCGGCTGATCTTCTTCCACAACCGCGGCCATCACAGGCTTTGGTTCGAGAATGACATCGGCTGAAACCGTTGAAGCCTTACAATCGCTCTTGCTTGTGTCCGAGTCTGATTCTACAGTTGGTTGTCTGTAGATAGAACTTGGCGTCGACGGTGAAGCCTCCTTAACCAAACCTTGTCCATGGCTACGACGACGCCGGTGACGACCGAGTGGGTGAGAAGCTTTGTGAGAAGTAATCGCGGTACTTTTCGTCGGTGTGTAAGGCCCCGGTGTCTTTGCAACTCCAGCAGAAGAGCCTTTGGCCACGCTGGACCGTACCTTGGTGTTAGAAGGCTTCGCGGCGTTAGCAGGAAGGCAGTAGTATCTTCATCTAGAGCTAACATACCTTTTTGACAGGCTCTTCATTGAGCATTTCGCTCTTCTTACTTCTCTGAAGCCGGCAAAAGCTGCAGATGTTGGGCACAGGCTTTCCTTCACCCACGGGGTGCTGTTTATGGAAATGGGCAGACCGGGCAAAGCCGCAACCCCAGCACAGATGCCCGAAAGCATCCACTGGGTATTTTTTGCCGTCGCAGTACTTCTTGAGGCACGGCTGGCAAAGATTTTTCCAGGCCGTATCGCTGGCACTCTGCGCTCTCTCTACCTGATGCCTCGTGGCTCGTCGAATGCCGCATCCTGCGCAAAAGTGCCCGTCGAGCATCATACTTGACCGAGATCTGCCTTCGAGAGTATTGTCGCGAACTTGAAGATCAGTGGCATCGACGACCGTCTCGTCGTCTGACAAGAAATCCTTGCCCCCCTGGTTGCCTACACTGTTGGATGCACAAAGCGGGCGTCGTGTCGAATCAGTCATTTCCTTATCTGGCTGCTTGGATCCAACAATCTTGGAGCTCTCCAGCTTGTGAGTGTAGTCCTTCTCGAATTCTGCTATTGCTTTGCGGAACTCTTCCTTTGGGAGAGGATTGTGTCTATGCTTGGAAGTTGGCTTCACGTCCTCAAATATAGAAAACGTAGACTCCGTCATGTCGGAAGGACCCAGTCGGTAGTTTCCCGTTGATGTTGACTCGGTACGGCAAGTTGAGCTGTCTGAAGACGACTCTTTCTGACCCAATGTTATTCTGCGGCGATGAATGGTGGCACGAGACTGTTGCTTGGGATGGCGCTCGTCAGTGTCGCTGGAGGTGCTGCTGGTGTCGCTGTCTTCATCAGAGCTGACTGCACCGCGAATCTCGAGCTCAGAAGGATATGGTGACGAGACGTAACCTGATCTGCGACCGCCTTGGCCATTTCTACGTTGAGGATAGACCTCCACGTTGTAGAGATCTCGCGGTGTGGTATCGCGTAGGTGCTTGCGGCTCGAAGATCGCGCCACCCTCTGATACTTGTCTCCTTCGCGGCGGGACGAGATACCCAGTGCTTCCCCAAGGGTAGCAAGGATGGAGCCCTTATTATGCCGCCGACTCTCGTTCATACTGTGCTGTCGTCGTAGCCCCTTCGTATTGTATGTTGTGTGCGATGCAGCCTTCGATGGGTAGGTGGTTAAGCTAGAAGAAGAGGGCTGTGAGGAAAGATCAAGGTTGGCAATACTGGTCCAGCGTCTGTGGGAAAAAAAAATATTAGAGAGCTGTGCCCAAAGCGTGGGGAGAGAAGAATGTAGCAGAGGGAACGGCAGGAGCTCGGAGAGAAGTGCCGCTCTTGCAGGGCTTGACCTCCACAGGCCGCTCAAGGAAGGCGCGTGGTGATGTTTTGATTTTAGACCACTAGTCGGGAAACATAGATCGGGATGACAAGTGCCATGAAATCAAACGTACCGAAGACCTTTCTTGAGACGTACGAATGACTTCCTTTTCTTGACTTCTGGACCCGACATTATGCACTTGATAGCTAAAGCGCAACAAGTCAACGAGTGTTGGTGTCTTTGCAGCACATCATTGGTGGTTGTAAGAGTGGGGGTGAAGATGAAGCCAGGAAGAGTGTACTTCTTGGTTTGTGTTCAGAAGTGATTCATAGAGGATGGTCTGCTTGGTTTGGACAAATCATGTCCGCGGTAGCCGTCGAGCCACCGCCATTCGCAATGTTTTCCTTGGATGAGGACGCTTGGCCAACAGAAAGCGTTTACGACGCCCATCGCACGCTAATGTTGTCAAATAGTACATTTGGTATACAACTACCAGAGCCAAGTCTTCTGCTTTTGTGTCTAGGTACATGCCGGGCCTTCTGCCGATCGGCTGATGGTATCCCCCAAGCCCATGTCCTCCAAGCCAAAGTAAAGGAAATATCGAGGTAAGCTCCCGTGATGAGCTCTTGTCGTCAAGTCATCGCTACACGGCGGCTGTTGGCTCGCTCGCCCGCCTGCACTTCTAGTCCGACCGCAGAACGCGGGGTCCACGCTTCTTGATGGCCTTCTTCTTCTTTTGGCCCTTGTTGAAGGCGCTGACGGCCGCGTGGTCACGGCCAATGTTGTCGAGGTCCTTGACCTTGTAAATGCGGATGATCCAGTTCTCGCTCGTGAACGCCTCCTCGACCGTGTCAAGAGTAGGACCTTCCGAGGGAATACGTACTCCACGAACCCTGTCCTGTGCCTGGCCAGCAGGGAAGAGCGTGTGGTAGTTGTAGTAAGACATCTTGTACCTGGACTGTGCATTAGCAACTGCATAGTTTGACAACTCAGGGCAAACTTACATCAAGCTGTTCTTCATAGTGTCAGTGGCGCCCTCGTCGACACGGTACTCGCCACGGGGTGTGAAGAAGCTGCGCTCCTGAACCTCATCAGGCCAGATACCCTCGGCGATACGAACCATCCAGAGGAATTTGTTGATGTCGTCACCGGAGTAGCCGAGAAGACCGCCAAACACAACCAGAACGTAGTCGACCTCGTGCTGGCGCATGATGGGGTAACTGACCTCCTCGCGGGAGGCCATAGCCTTACCAACAGTAGCAATGTGAGTGTTGTTCCAAGTGTTGTTGTCCACGAGAGTGGGGCGGTCAGCCATGCCGCCAATCTGGTAGCCATAGTCCCACCAAGCCATGATCTTGGCGTCCTCCTTGGTGTTCTGGCGGATCCACTGGTACGCCTCGCGGTAGTCATCAATGATGTGCTGGCTGCCGTCGGGCATGCGACTGGCAAGAACGACGGAGGGCGAAGAGTAAGCGTTGGAGGTGACCCAGGTGCAATGAAGGACGAAAAGGAGCAAGTAGGCACCAATGGCACCAACGACAAGACTCTTGGACAGCAGAGTGTAGATACCGACGTAGGGCTTGGTCGTAGACTTCAGTCCCTTGTTTGACTTCTTCGGGGCGGTTTCGGCAGTATCCTCAGCAGCTTCGTAGGCTTCGGCAGAGGGAGACCAGCGGGTCAGGAAGGTGTCAAGAAGCTGCGAGGCGGCCATGGCGGCAGCAACGCAGACACAGGGCGTCAGAGTGAGCATGAGACGAACCATGACACCGGCGAAGTAGCTGCCAAGCACAGCGTACAGCACGAGGAAGATGTGTTCGTCGCGAAGCTCCTGGAAGCAGAGGTAGATACCGGCGGGGAACAGCCAAATCATCATGTTCAGGTCGAAGAAGAATGCAGGCCAGGCAGTGGGCTGGTGCTCTGAAACGGACGCGATGATGGGGATGTGAATCTTGGCATAGCCCGTGTCCCACAGGGAGTAAAAGCGGCCACCCCAGGGGGCGATGTATCCGAGCTGAGTCAAGGCAACGACGCCAGCGAGGCCGAGGCCAAAAGTGAGGGCAACCATGGTGTAGAGGAAGTTTTGGAACTGGCGGGCAGGGAGTGCGCTACGGACATAGTCGATGAAGGCCACCAACTGCAAGAATCCGAACATGCCTTTTCTTTGTCAGTTTGACTATCGTCATCAATCTGAGCACCCAGAATTCGACTTACCGAGAGCGGGCATGTGCTCGCTGGTTTTGATGGGCAGGAAACCGACAAAAGGAATGTTCATAGCGGCCACGGTGCCAAGGGCATACCAAGTCGTGTACGAGACGTACAGCCTGGTGCTGTACCTGCCCGTGGCGACGAGCACGAGGGCGTGGACGGGCAGCATGTTGGTGATGAAGGCGTAGCCACCCCACGAGGCAACCATGTATCCGTAGAAGAGGGCACACAGAGAGGCCCAAAGGATAGAACCGAGCTTGAGCGCCTTGATCCAGAGGAAGAAGGTAAAGACAAGCAGGAAGATGGCGATAGCCTCGTTATCGTAGCTGCCAGCCACGGAACGTGAGATGTAACCGGGGGTAATACCCATGAAGGCCGCGGCGAGAAGACCGGCGGAAGGCGAGGTGGTCATCTCGTTGGTAAGAAGGTAAGCTGCGAAAGCCGTCAGGCCCGAGAAGGCCGGCGCCAGGAGGACGCAGATGTTGCGGATATCGACGGGAATCGTAAGGGCTCGGAGAGCATGGTAAATGGCACCGCTGGTGACCATGAGACCAGGGTAGAGAGTTCCTCCGGTGACCCGACCAAGAGGGTGCCAAGTGCGGTCATCAAACCAGTCCCAGAAGCTGTAGACTCCATTGGCAACGAGATATTTGGTGGCCCGGAAGTTGAACCACGGGTCGACTGGGTTCGGGGTCAGTACGACATTCTAGTATTCGGGGGGAGAGCGGGGAATCGGCAACAACGAACATTCGTGGATGATGGATTCAAAACCTATTGGCAATCAAGATTAGCGACGTTATCCTTAAGCTGCAGTCATGTGTGCGCTGTCAATTGAGGACACAATAATGAGGTGGGAGTGGTCTTCGTGGCCAGCCTATTTGGACTTTGGGGGAGGAGCACTTACGAATGACAGAGAACAGACGGCTTGCAACGCCAGCTGCCGCAATCAGGAGTAAGATGATCACGCGTAAGAAGCTCCTTGTCTTCTGTGTGCTGCCTCCGAAGGAGGTTTCCACTGTTTGGGCCGACATTGTGGCCGTGAATGGTGGAAAGACAATGCTGAAGTTGGGAGACGACGTGGTGGGATTGATGTCGTCGATGAACGCTCCAGGCGTGCAGAAGGACAGCTTGAGCTTCTGTGACCCCGTATACACGCAATCTTGCAGGGGTGCAGAAGGGGGAAAGTCCGGCTACATACATAGTGAGGTGGAACCGCAATACATTTCGTTTTGCTACATAATAATCAGCCAATCTTTCGCTTTGTTGCATTGACCATGCAGATGAGGACAAAGAGCGATGATGATGGTCAACGAATGGATGCTGGCTCCCGTGTTCTTGTTGACGATATGGAATGCACTTGGAGGTGGCGTGAGTTGGCCATTTTGTTGTGGACAATCACACCTCATACAAGTCTTCACAGGCACTGTGTATACCGTGTGCAGGCCAGCTCGGCGCAGCATCCAGAAAGCAGATCACGTCACCACATCACACCCTTGAATCCCATGACTGCATTATTTCAGTCATCTAGTCGAGCCTATTGTACACATGTACATCCAGTCAAGCGGAGGCAAAAGGAAATGTCTATGCCATGGCGTTCGAGCGCAACACCTTTCGGAGCTGCCCACCCGATGAAAGTCCCGCCACTCTATCCCTCAATGCTCGTGGGAGAGCATGTCGTGTCCCTGCGCAGAGCCCTCCTCAATTCTGGTTGCGTCTTGTCCCTTCGCGTTCCTCCACATTCATCCTCACACTCATTTCCATTACGGGTTTTCCTTCGCCAGGTTGGTGAGATAAGCCTCAAGATCGAACTTAGGGTCCAGCGGGTCCTGGTTGGCTATTGACAGGTTAGCTTTGGTAGACCACATGCGCAAGGCAACGAGAGGTCGTCGAGATTGAAGAGCAGCCTCGGTGGCTTCGCTCGCATGGACCCGTGTGCCAACTACGAGAGTCGTACCTGAGCTGGTCGTCGCGGCGGCGACGGGAGAGTTCTTCTTGGCGTATTCGGCCTTGGCCTGGTTGATGAGCTGCTGCTTGTGGTCGTACTCCTTCTGCGCCGCGGCGGCCTTCTGGCTAGCAGTGATGGATCGCTGGTGGGAGAAGCCCGTAGAAGATACCCAGGCCGAGGGCAGTGTAGCGAAGGACCTGTAAACCGAGTGACGGGTTAGCGATCAAATCAGTGCTACCAAGAATCGATCGTCGACGCTTGTAAAAATCGTTCGGATGGATGGATGGAGGAAAGTTGCAGTCGGCGCAGGGGTTGAGGTTTTGAGCTGTGAGGCGGGAAGCCTGAACGGCGAGGAAGAGGCCACTAGGCCAGGAGGCGCGGCTCGACGTACGTTGACTCCGGATGAGGCAGACATGGCGAAAGTTGTCTGGGGAGATGCGACTGGATTTCGAGTGATGTGGGAGGATGATCGGGCAGCGCGCGGGTCGACAATGGCAGTCAATTGGCCCGTGGGAGGGAGTGATGCTAGGACGTTGAAGTGCGAAGTTTTGGTAAAAAGCTCGGGAGAAACCGCAGATTTTCCGGTCCTTCCATTGACCTCGTTGCTTGTCACTCCAATCCGCCGGCCCGCTGGGAGCTTGGACGACAACCGCATCCGCGGCCAGCCAACAGCGCTTCGAGCTGGATGCTTACGTGATATGGAATGATTTCCCCGGCCATTTGCCGTCTCCAGTCACGTGCCAAATCAGGCACGTCCCGCGCGCCTGAGCTTGTCGCAGATGAAATGCCCCGTGGTGGTTTAGTTCGTACCTTGAGTGGATACAGGGGGGCAGCTGTCCACCTCAGGGACAGACAGGGGTCGTTTCCTCCACTGACGCCGCTGGATCGCGACGACGTGGGCTTGATGAAAGTTCCCCGAGCAAACACGCCTCAACACTTGTCACGAGCTCCACCCCTATCGCTCCAGAAACTCGCTGCTGGACGTGACTTCAACACAACACACCATCACCGCCTGGCTCCTGACTGATTGCATCGACCAATCTGTGAGATTCCACCGTCTCCCTAATCATCGACGCTTAGAACCGGCAGCTCCCGTCATGGGAGTAGGGAGTCGGCAACATGCAACAACGTCGTGAAGAAATCCTGGCCAAGAAGGCAAAGCTCGCAGAACTCAAGCGGCAGAGGGAGCTCCGAGCAAACCAAGCAACAGCAACTCGCCAGAGCATAGGCAGCCCCAGCGAGGTTTGTAGCTATTCCTTTCTCCATAGCGTGTGCCATCAACATGTACCTAGTACCCAAGTCCTAACACAACATTTTCTATTGTAGCTCATCGCACCACAACCGGGGCGTGGCGACAATCGCCGCGATATCGAAGCTTTGATCAATACCCTCGTTGGAGAAAGTCGCCCTGGATCCACGACCACAGGAGGCGCGGCATCGCCGGCGCATAGGGGCAGCCGGCCCAACAGTGTGCTGTCAGCTGGGAGATTAGCAACGAAACATCAGAAGTCGCCATAGCATCTGCGCTGCAGCCCGCGCCTCCGCCTCCTCCTCCGCCACAGTTCTTCACGACTATACCTTTGACCACCGTCTTTGAATGCCCACCCTTCACCTGTCAAGAAGAATCTTCTCTTACAGCCAGGGGGTACA